CTTGCGAGTCAATGAGAAGACATGTTTAGGTCTCTATGGATGTGACGTGGAAGACTTGAAAGAGAGATTGATTGCTATTTTCAATGAATTCAAAATGAAGAACAAAACCCACGTACTTCTAGCCTACAACTGCGAGTATGTGTTCACGGCTTTTAATTCTATGCTTCTTTTTTCATTAAGATTATTCGATAATTAGAATTCTGTGATTGCAACAACCATTTCGTCTTCATTTGTATCAATCTTGCTAAAAATCTGATCGAGGTGTGGGACTCGAAAAAAAACCATTTCATCATCTGGATGCACTGGTGGCAGTGTTGAATTAGTAAGCGATCCTAATAACATATTATTTTCTAGCCACACATACCGCTTTCTAATGTTTCTCCTTTTAATATTGCATAGTGTCTGAAGAAGACATATCGGTGGGACGCAGGTCCCATTCAAGGTTGTCGAAATGGAGGGAAAGTACCTAAAACAGGCGGCGGGAAACCATGAATGCGGGTTTTATGTAATATGGGCAATGCTTCGCTACATCGGCGGGAAATCAAAAGAAGTCGATAAGTTGGTGTGTATAATCCCCATTTCATTTATGTCTGTTAATAATTCAACAAAATAATTTACTGATTCCTCTTTGGATATCATCTTTTTTGAGCGATAGCGCAAGAAATATAACCACGAAAGGCTGTTAGACATGGAGATCGTCGCACTACAATCGGAGCTGGCAAAATTCATCTTAGCCGGGGTATTGAAAAAAGATGGAGTATTTTCCATTGCACAATCCATGAAGTTCAAGGGCTAGTATGGCCCAGAGCGGCTCGCTAGATTATTGTAAAAAGTCCGAGAAGCATGTTTCATCTTATCGAATAATTTCTTTTTTATTTTGAGGGATCGAGATCTTGATAAGAACATTTGAACAGTAACAGTAACATTTGTAATGTTTAATATTGATGCACCTGTCGTCTACATAGCGTATATAAAGTGAAACCTGATTCCACGAAAAAATATAAATTAAAATAAATTATAAAACAATAAAATACGAACGGGTCATCACTGCCGGTTAGCAACAAACCGGCAGTATTGTCGTAACCATCACTGCCGGTTAGAAACAAACCGGTAGTGTTGTCGTAACCATTACTACTGGTTAGAAATAAACTGACAGTGTTGGTTTGATCAACACTGCCAGCTTGAACCATGAACCGACAATGATGGTTACGACAACACTGCCGGTTTGAACCATGAACCGACACTGTAGGCTTGCTCAACACTGCTGGCTTGAACCAAGAACCAACACTCTTGAAGCAATCATCACTGTCGATTGGGACTACAAACCGGCAGTGTTGTTCAACTGGACACTGTCGGGTGGAGCTAGGAATCGACACTGTTGCCTGATGATCAGTATCGGTTTTTAAGAACCAACAGTGATGTCAACCCCTCATCATTGCCGATATGCCACTGTCGATTCAAAATTCGGCAGTGAAGGGAGTTTTTGAACCAACAGTGATATCCAGATCTGAAGTAGTGTCTATTGGTGCCCATAAAATATACTGGCAAAGGTGGCCTAATAATAAGTTGACTAGACCTAATTAAACATTAAGGATGGATGGGTTTCACCGACCTCACCTTGTGTAACAAGGCCTGGCAGGCTGGGCGCTTGATGACCAGGAGACAGGAGTAGACCGGAGACTTAATGGACACGAACACGACACGGCTAAGCAAAGGGAAGTACACACTACTTGCCAAAATGGTGATTTTACGTGGCAACCGGAAGGAAGAAAAGTTCAAACGCATGTGGAGAGCAATTTTGCATGGGCATGATATTTGTCATGCGGGCTGTCTACCTGTCATTCGCGTGTATTGTGGTCCACCAACAACCGGTTGCTACAGCTAGAAAAAACAACCGACAAATAGTACACGTCGGGTGTTTCTATCTTTTTTTTTTTTGAGAAGATCGGGTGTTTCTAGTTTTCTTTTTAGCGAAATCGGGTGTTTCTAGCTTTTTTTTTAGGGAAAATCGGGTGTTTCTAGCTACTACTACCTGCTTTGGGTTGGACTTCCCAGCATGCGGCCCGGTTCAATAGGCAGGCCGGATGTCTATACGGGCCGCTTTGGTATATGGCATCATGTTCTATTTTGTTATGTTAAAAAATGCCGGTTCATTATGTGGCACGGGCGCACGGGTAACGATTATACCTAGTTGTTTATACAGGCTAGTTCATTTGTATTTATCCGATGTTTATACATGCCGTTTGTCAACATGAGCCAAATGTTCAGCGTATCAAATTGTAGTATAGAAGAAGCCCAAGCCTAATGGGTCAGCATTAGATTTAAATTAACAAAAAGATCAGCCGAATGTTTTTGAAAAAAAAAATCGCGACCAATACACACATCCTCGTGTGTTGCTACGTGTGTTGAATGAATTGAAAATACACCAAGAAATAATAAAGGAAAAATGTCTAACAAAGAAAGAATAATTTGGAGAATACAAAACAAAAATGAAAAACATTCTAACAATTTATACCTGCACCATCCACAACAAACTACATATGGCAAGTGCCATGTTGCTAATCTTGTGAACCCACCGTGCTCTTGCATATGAGAGTAGGCACAGTGCAGGCATGGGATTTACCTAGTCGTATGGGCGTTGAGGGCGGAGGGGATTCGAAATTGCAGAGGCCAGGGGGTGAGGGCTGCTAGGCAAGAGGAAATCAAGGGTTCTATGTCAGGTGGTGATCTGAGAAACCTAGTAGGAAACAGATCGTTTTTCACATGGTGAAATCTGTACATTTGTGCCGAGATAATCGATGGATCTTGGCATGGAGAAATGACCTTGGCTTTGTGGGGGAGAATAGATCGTGAAGGGGAACAAAAGAGTTATTGGAGAGGGGAGCAGTAAAATATATCGAGCAGGTTAGCGACGATGACAAAGCGCTAGATAATGACCGGCAAAAAATTTAGGTGCTGAAATTTGGCTACAGGCATGGGTCTCCAACAACTGTGACCCAAAATTTATGTGTTGAAATTTAGGGCTGCTGCTTAGACTGTCTCCAACAACTGTGACCTAAAATACAAAACACATTCGTTCTTTGGGTAGCGCTTACAGGCAAATGGTTCAATATCTATTTTTGTCTTTCTCCAACAACAAGACCCAAAAGACAACATTTTCTCAAATGAGTCTCCGGAGAGAGGATACTCAGATTTGGGTTATACCTCTCCTAGCACCTAAAATGGGTCTTCCATATAGATACTTTGTTGGATGCTATAGGTATTGTGTTGAAGACCCATTTTGTGTTTGGTTTTCGCAATGGGTCTTCTATTGGAGGCAGCCTTATGCTGATTTGTTGTGAGAGAAAAACACCGTTCGTTCGCTGAAAAGTACTGCTGAAGTAGTGCTGCAGAACAGGGCGTCAGTCGTCGGGTATCCTTGTACAACGCATGGCCAGACGCACGATAGAACCCGACGATCACAAATTGCACATGGTCTCTAGATTATGGTCGGTGATGCTCAATCATGTAGTAGTGAAAGACTCATTCATGGGAAAAGAGGGAAGGGAAGGTGTTAAATGTAAAAAAGCATGCCATGCTAGCGTATCACATCAACATGAAAACGCCTATGTGGCTAATATGGACCTGGAGTGCACCCCTCAATAAGCTTAGGAACCAAGAAATGTATTTTAAAAGTTTATGGACTTTAAGTGTCACCCCCTTATAAGTTTATATAAATTCAACTCTTTTTAATTAATCTCATCTCTCGCTTATGTGGCAGCTCATGTTGTTGTGCCTTGTTATCATCAAATAGTCTAGGGTTTCATGGTATCCATGCATACATAAGTAAAAATGCCCTTTCTATCCTTACCTATAAGGTTACTAAATTCCTTGAACCCTTAATGAATCCAAATGTCTGTCATATTCCATCGTCCATCTTAACCGTTATTTCAAATTAGAAGACACTTTAGCTTTTCAGTTATATTGCTTTTACTATGTATCTAAACATAGTGCATATCTAAATATAAAAGCTATGTATCTAAAAAAAAAAAGTTTTATAATTTGAAATAGAAAAGGTAACATTCTAAATCAATTTATCTCCTAAAAACACCCTTCAACCATTCGCGCAGTCGCTCTCCCACATAGGACGTCGTGGGCTCGTGGCTGCAGCCCACAGGTCCCTCGCACGCCTTCGGCCTAGCACAGCCTATCCACCTCATGCTGCTTCCCCCCGCCGAGTGCTCCTGTCCCCGTGTCTAGATGGTCGCATCCAAAAGAAACAAAAATGAAAATTGAAACGGCCACTCTGATAATTAAGTGATGAAATTGACTTTCATCGTTTCATGACGAAGTCTGAGACGAAAGCAGCAATTCCACCAACGTAATACATTGCCAGTTAGAATAGAAGCTTCTCAAGATATGGAAGTACGGTGGGGGAGCGGCCTTTCTTTCACATTTTCGTTTTGGGCTTACTCTCACATCGCCCAGCCATACATAACCTCCAAAGCCTTGGGATGATTCTTTGCCAGTGATATTTGACTTGCTCCAAGACCAGGTACACTTATCCAGAAGCAAGAGCAAGACGATAGACATAAGTGGAGGAAATGACTCGTGATCTTTGCACAGCACAGAAACACAGAAGAGCAGATTGCATGGCAAGATGACTCAATTGCAACTGCGAATTTGTTAACAGCTTGAACCACATTGATTGAATCATAGAAATGCCATCCATTTCGTGAGGGCAAAGCACATCCATCATGGACCAGTGACATCAGTACTAGCAAATGTAGTGTAGGATAACATTCTCAAAATTTCCATGCTTATGTCTAACATGAATGAATTGGTACACAATACTGTTGTGGAAGTCATACCAAAGGTTTCCTAAGAAGATGGCACTAAACTATTTACCACAATCTGACAGCAAGCGGCTTCCACTTGGATAAAACAGCAGTTGGGAACAGTTACAAGCAGGGTTCCTTAATCTGACCTGTATCCAAGACAAAGGTAAACTTAAGTGTTCTTTACTCAGGGTTGACCTTTTGCTTCTTCGAGTCGTCCTTGTTTTTCTTGGCTTCGCGGCGCTCCCTCTTTAGTCCCTTTATGTCGTTTGCCAAGGTCAACTTTCCAACCTGAATTCAGGCAAAACCGTGAATCGGGTTATCATGTCAAAGGCAATCCTGCTACAAGTTTTCCGAAAGCAAAACTCAGTACGAACCTGCTGGTCTGGCATGTAGACCTTGCCCAGCTTGCCCTGCACTGGATCCTTAGTGACATTTTTCATCTGCAAGAAGGTTCACGATAGTTGTGAATATCAGTGCAGTGACTCAGGAAGTCAGGAGGAAGATTTCAGTGAGAACACAGAAAAAGGCAGATGTTAGTTCCATTGGGTTTACCTTCTTAGCATGTTCAGCAGTCTTCATAGCTTCTTTCTTTAAGCTTTCAACTGGAAGTCTGTGCCTCCTTACAACCAGATCCATTGAAGGTCCAACTTCGACCAGCTCCATCCTAGGAATAGATGTACCTGACCTTTTTAGACGAAGAGCACAGTGCATCATGTAGACAGTAGTAGGAGAGATTGCAGTGCACACATAGATCCGATCCACACCAGCAAGGTTTAGATTCTCTACGACCTGCATTCAACAGCAACAGTTTATTATGAAGCTTAAGAGATTTATCCATGCATGCCACCCTGTAGTTACAAAATTGCGCACCTCTCCTCTGAAAAGATCAAGCAGCACTTCTTTCAAATGTTTCAGCTCTTCAGCACTCTCAAAGTGTTCCCCTATGAAAGCAAAGAAAGGCTTTGATCCAAGTTTTGGTGCTAGCTTCTTATCATAAACATAAGACTCCATCGACTTGTAGTTCTCAACTCCTACTTCAACAAGGTCATATATGTGGTGGTCATACGTTCTTCCCAAAATCAGATTGTTGGGCCTCTTCTTTGAATGAGAACCATACTGCATCATGAGTTAAACAAACAGTTGAAAACAATGGAGTGAGATAATCTCTTTAAGACAAGGGTACAATGACATAAGGATAAAGCATTGAAATAGAAATAGAAAATATTATACTCATTTACAGATACATTTAGCAGGCATGGTTGACAGAAATTAATTATGTAGCCACTAGATTATTCTACTTCTACTCCACACTATGAATTATTACAACATCAGCAAATACAAATGGCAAACGATGAACTAGTCAAAATGATATCACTCACCACTATAAGGCTACAGTCTGTCTTGAGGGAGAAAAATTCCAGAGAAGATTCCCCACCACTTTCAAAAGGCCTAATGTTGTCATTCTTCTTGGTATATTTCACAGCATTATCACGCTTTAGGTGGTAAATATCTGACAGCACAGAGTTCAACACAGCACTAGTCTTGGTACCATGGAGGATCAGTGTCTTCTTGCTGGTCTCAACCTGGCAAAATTATCAGAGCAGAAGGCAGATGTGAGATTGAAACACAAAGCATCAAACATACTATTTCTATTACCACTTCAAATTATGCAGAACCTCCTTACACGGATACTAGATAGCTAAGACCAAGAATACCACATGATTTTCAGCATAAAGCATAGTGCATTGCACAATGTGCCAAAAGGTCACGTCTTTAACCAGCTAGCCAACCCACTGCGAGATTTGATAAAGATTATATAGAGCTTCATCACTAGAAAGGATATGAACATCACACGAGACTTGCTAAAGATTATCCCGAGGTTGCCTTGGCAATACTGTTTGTTCTAAGATGGTTCCTGCACACTGACCCTGCAGGGCGGCAGCACAGCCACAGTGTTCCATGGTAGTGGATGATCAGGACATGGTATGATGACGAGGTGCCCTACTAGTATCCAGTAGCAAGAATCATTTCTTTAAGGGCAAATAGCAATCACACACATATAAGATATGCAAGCAAGTATGATACTTTTGTCCTATACGTGTGTTTGCCAGAAAATAAAACACTAAGGCCTTGTTTGGATGTCATCGGATTCACCTCAATCCATGAATACGATTACATCCAAATAAGGCCTGAAGGACACAGGAACCCTCCTTGTCAGGGCACCCTGCGGACAGGAGCGCCAATTGGAGCAGACGACTAGGGGAGGGGCAGGCCAAAAGGGCGACAGACTGTGTGGCAGCCCACCGCGAGCAGGGCCATACCACACATTTTGAAGGGCCTCTGCATACATTACATCAGCAGGACCCTACCACACAGACAGGCTAGCTAGTTTGTACTTTGTAGATTAGATAGACGAGGTACAAAATCCGGATGAGAAGCTGACATATACAGGACCCTCATCGATGGGTATTCTGATCTGATAGTAGTTTAGATGTATGACGAAGCAATTTCCGTTCTCTCGAAAGATTTCCTACGTTTACTGTCTCTGCTCCCATATCTCTTTGGACTGCATAATTCTTGATGAAAAAAATTAAGGGCGCATAATTTGTTGGAGAACCCGCACGGTCGCCATCCTGCCGTCCTAGAACTAGATACCTGGTGGGCCTCCCCACTCCTTCTCGCCGCAGGGAGGTTTTGGAAAAGGGTACAGGGGTGGGAAAAGGGAGCAGAGAAGGAAGCTTACGAGCTTGGGTGCGTGCTTGAGTAGCTCCCGCCTGGCGCGTTGGGTCTTGGGCACCCTGATCGCCGCCACCATCTTCTCCTTCCGCTCCGATCGAAGCCGCCGCCGCGGAGAAGAACAAGCTGAAGAGGAGGAGGGGAGGCGGCTACCTGACAATACAGCACCGGACCACTAAACCCTAGAAAACCCCGCACCGCTTTTGTTCAGTAGGGGGGGTTCGCGCGGCGCCGGGCAAGCCAGAGAAGCGCCGTCGAAGGGGAGTGGAGAAAGGGCGGCGCCAGCCTCGCCTGGTCAGCAAACCTAACCAGCTCGATGGGCCTACTGGCTTCTCCGGCTCACTAGTTACTGGGCTGCCATCACATGTGTCGTTGTAGGCCCATTAGCCCATGAGGCGAAGTTCCTTTCTCCCCTTTCCGTTCTCGGCCCTCAACGTCTCTCTCCCTTCGCTTCCGTCGCACGCGACTGCCAGGCGGACAGGCTCCTCTCCGGCACTAGCCGTTAAGCCGTCGGTGCCCAACGGCTCCATTCCCGCCGCGCTCCGCTCTATTAATGCTCGCCTCCTCGCTCTCCGGTCAGTCCACTCCACTCCACTCCTCGCGCCGCATCCATCCTTCCATTCCCTCTCGATCTCTCTGCTGCCTCCCGGTCGCAGATCCCGACCGAGCAAGAAGCAAGCCGGCGCCAGCGGCCAGCGCAGAGGGTGATCGACGATGGCGGGCAGCACGCGCGCGGCGCACAAGGCGTTCCTGCTGTGCAACTACACGCTGCTGGGGGCGGCGTCGGCGTGCATCTTCCTCACGCTCTCGCTCCGCCTCGCGCCCTCCGCGTGCGGCCTGCTCCTCGTCTTCCTGCACGCGCTCACCGCCGTCTTCGCCGCCGCGGGCTGCTCGGGCTCCTTCACCGAGGGCGGCGCCGGGGCCGGCCGCGCGCACGCCGCGCACACCGCGGGGGCCGTCCTCACCGCCATCTTCCAGGGCGCCGCCGCGCTACTCGCCTTCACACGGACCACCGACTTCCTCGCCGAGCTGCGGTCCTACGTCCGGGAGGAGGACGGCGAGGTCATTCTCAAGCTCATCGGCGGGCTCGGTACCGCCATCTTCGTGCTCGAGTGGGCTGCGCTGGCGCTCGCGTTCGCGCTCCGGCTTGACGACGATGGCAGCGAGGAGATCGACGGCGAGCACTGCAAGAGCTGGGCGTCAGGGTACCATGTCTGATTCTCCTCTGATCAAGCACCGGAGTCTGAAGAGATACAGGCAGAGAAATCAGAAAAGAGGGATATTTTTTTTGTCATTCTTTTATTTACAGCTGTGGATCTATTCCGCTGTTGTTACTGTGATCATGGACCGAAGTGCAAAGGCAAATGTTTTGCTTTGCACTGTATTCAATTCATCTGTTATAAGTAGCAATAAAAACTATTCATTCAGTGAGCCGTAAAAGAGTGACTATTAGAAAAAAAACTCATCACTATTAGAAAAAATGACAGTAAAATTATTGTCCAGTTGAGGGTAATTTTAAAAATAACCTACCAAAAAGATTTTGTCAGTTTAATTAGCAATGATAACATAAAAGCTTAAAAATAAACTTCCGAGAAATAATATTCAAGGATTGGAAACATACTTTTCACCAAGTAAAGCACTGGAAACATACTATTGAAGGATTGGAAACATACTTTTCACCAAGTTAGAATATACACACAAGCCTCAGTACAAATGCAATTTGAATCTTTTTCTACAGCTATGTGTACGTTGAATAAATAAATAAAGATCAGACATCCACCATTACATACAGAAGCCAAAAAGAACAAACAAGAATGCAAAGTGAAAGATAAAAATAATGAAAGCCAGCCTAACTGTTCATACAACGAGCAGATTGTAAAACAGAATATGATTAAAACATGAAGCTTATCAGTCTGGGGCCAACTTAAAGATCATAGTACGACAGTGTTTGTTCTAATGTGACTAAAAAGAATAATACCCATAAATATCATCCTTGCGTTGTCTGTAATTGTAGTCGTTTGATGCTCCTAAGCACACATGTGGGGTCATGAACTTTAAAACTCGTTGGTGGTCATTCGTCTTCTTCTGCTGCTCAGCGACACCTTGAGACCTGTTACTGATAGAACCCACATATAGACCTGTTACAAAGATGGTTGTTGGCTTCCCAGGACCCCGGAAGCAGGCCATAATTCTCAACTCTGATTCATATCCAAATCAGTGTCAACATCTTCTTCATCCAACGAGCAACAGTAACCTTGTTCGGCAACTGTTTCCCACATTCCATATGGTGGCAATGTTCGGCTTTTGCTGTCAATACTGATCAAGTTTCCTTTTCCATTGGTGGAAGAAGGAAATTGCAGAAGCCATCCATCACCAGTATCATCTTCTGTTACTTATCCTGCCATTATGCAGCCTTGCTGACACAGTCACTTGGAAAATTATCACGTACGTCAGACATTAGTCCTTTCTTTGCATCTTCCGGCAATTTTATGGTAACCTTGAGGAGCTTTGTTTAGGGACATGGGCTACTATTAGTAATACATAATGGGTTTTTGGACTTGAGTCTGTGTGCGTCTTACTGGTTGGACTTAGCCCGTGTATGAACTTACTGGTTGGACTTAGCCCGTGTATAAAATAGTATATCTACCTTTGTCTATAGAGAGAGAAGGAATATAAAAAATATTATAATATATCTTAATCTGTTCTAGCTACTCCTCTCGTGTTCATCTTCTTCCTCCCAATTCTCCTGCTCTGCTGCTAGTTCCTCTCCGATCTTTGATCTCCTATGTTTCCCTACCTATCCCCGCTACCCTGCTGCTAACATCTTGTACCAGAGCCGTCGATTTTGGTAGTCCATGAATCCTTCCACCAAGCTCTTGCTCGACGAGCTCCGTAAGCTCTCCGCCGAGCAGAGCGAGCTCCGTAAGCTCTTCGCCGAGCAGAGCGAGCTCCGTAAGCTCTTCGCCGAGCAGAATGGATCGGCGATTCGCCGACCACGCCGCTTCGGTCTCGACCACGCCCGCACCTTCCGCCGCCGCTGCCTCGGTCATGCCCGCGCCCGCACCTCCCACTGCAGCCTGCGTCACGCCCGCGCCCGCACCTTCCGCCTCCGCCTACGTTGCGCCGCGCACACCACGCTCTTCCACCCTTGGCGGGCCGTATGGTGCTGCACGCCACCGCCGCTTTGCCAGACCTCGCGAGCGTCGAGTCCATCGCCTCCGCGGCCTCCGGCCTGCACACCAACGTGCTCGTCCACGCATCGGGCTACTTCCTCGCCGCGGCGTCCTGGGGCATCCACGTCTTCCAGCTCTCCATCGGCTTCGGCCCGGCGCTCGCCTGCTTCCGCCTCGGCCCCGTCGAGTACGCGCTCCGCGCCATCTTGTTCGGCGGCTACGTCGTCCCAGAGCCTGGCTTCGCGCCCGACGACGACCAGGAGTTCGGCTTCGCGCCCGACGACCCCGACCTCCTCCGCAACCGCCCCGTCCCGTACCCGGAGTCCGACTTCGCGCGCGAACACGCCGGTCCCCGCCGACACCTTCTTCCGCGCCGCCCGCCTCGTCTGCGGCTACTACGCGAACTCCGCGCGCCATCTCCCACCCACAGGCGCTGGCGCAGTGCGAGCTCACGCTCAACGCCAAGGGCCTCAACGTGGCCCACGAGGCTTTCGTCGACACCGCGGGCGCCGCCGAGCACGCCGCCGCGGGAGGCCTCTGGGACACCGCCGTCATCGCGTCCGCGCGCGCTGCCGAGCTCTACGGCCTCCAGGTCCTCGCCGATGGCATCCAGGGGGACGCCGGCAACGGCACACGCTTCGTCATGCTGGCGCGGGACCCCATCATCCCGCCCTTCAAGACCTACATCGTCTTCGGGCACGACACCAAGGACTACCTCCACGACATCGCGCCCCAGTACACGGCCGAGACCCACTGCCTGCTCACCCACAACTGTAACAACTTCAGCCACGACCACGAGGTGGCGCAGCTCCTCGCCGCCACGCCACCGCACCTATCCGCGCAGGCCATCGCCACAGAGCTCGTCCACTGCGGCACCGAAGACATCGAGTGCGCTGACGTTGTTGTCACCTCGCCCGTCAGGTGTTCGACGTTGGTCCTCTCCCAGACTGCCTGTGTTCTTGTGTCAGCAACATCTCCTCCCTGCAACACCTTTGCACAAGAATTCAACATCAGCAAGGGAGTTTCATCAAAGGAGAGGGTCATGTTCTGTCGTGATGCTAGCACCAGTGATGCCTACAAGGTGTTCAAGATGCAACATAAGTTCAGTGAGTTGGAAACACTATGGCCACCATCGGCATGGAGATGTTCAGTTGGTTCTAGAGCCGCCAAAGGGACAGTGAGAAGAGTGGTTCTGTACTCTGAATTAGTTCACTACCAGATGAATGAGATAATAGCTAGAGGTCATGCACTGATTAACCATGTTGCTAGGAAAGACTCAGCTGCTGCAGGGATTTCATTTCAAAAAAAATATTTGTCATCCAAGCAGAAACATGATGAAGCTTCCTTGGTGAGCTGTGATGCTGGGCTGCGTCCTCTACCATGGCCGTCGTTCAACATGGTTGAGAGGTATTCTGTCTTGTGTCACTTGGGTCGACTCTGGAAAACCCCATGGTTTCCATCACTTCGACAACTGATCAGGTGTGTACCAGCTACTGCTCTTCAGAAGCTTTTGACATGTATGATGGTGCTATCAGTGAATACGGCTGGCTGTATACTGATTCCAGAGAAGGTACAGCGGAAGGGTGGTGGCAATTGTCAATGTTTCTTGCTTGAATTGACAGGACATAAATCTCGAGTTGCAGGAGGAAAGGCCAAGGATCGTTGGCCGGCTAAGCAAGATTTGTTACAGCAAATTTTGTCTGCTGGTCCTAGCTCGGATCTTGGAGGGGTTTGGCATCAATCGGTATCTCTCAGGTTCTTGCAACTCTCGTGGATGTCATCTGTTTGGACATGCAGTTCAGTGGTTTGGTGCTATCACCTGCATTTGCCAGTCTCTGTTAGTGGTACTAATGGTTCTGATGGTGTCCATCTATCCGCCGTGATGGTTCCGATGGTTCCGTTCGCTGGTCTGAAACTTGGCTGAAACTGGCTGAAAAACACTGTTCCGGCTGAATTGTTGTGAGAGAAAAACACTGTTCCGGCTGAAAAAAGAAGCCGAACAAGCCATTTTTAAGACAAGCGAACGGGGCCATCGTGTGGAGTTCAGCCTACTAATTCTCTACAGCTGGACAATCTGACCTCAGTACTTGTACTGCGCACGGTTTTGGCACATACTTGTTTATTCAAGGTTTACGGCAATGGGTACCTGACTTGTTGCATTGAGTTGCAGCCATGGCCACCGCCTATAATACTTCCTGCAACTGGCCTATATTATCCTATCAACACGTTGGTGCTGGCTGACAATTCAGGACTGGTACAGCTTTCACATTGCAATGCTTCCACAGCCTCGCAACAACTTTTCTCAGTTCGCGTACAAGTCTCCGATGAAACCAGACATGGAGATCGTTTGAGCATGGTTAGGACTGTCAACATGTCAAGAATGACTCTATGGCCGCTGGTAATTCAATTCTCTCACTTGATGATTGACGACCCTTGATGGCTTGGCCTATATTGATGACTTGGGTTATCTGCAAAGGAAGTTCAGAACACTGTCATGACCAATCAGTGCCTATACGATACCTCGACGCTTGAAGATTTAACAGCTTGGGGGCAAGCTGTTACTTAAGCGGGGGAGAATGTTAGGGACATGGGCTACTATTAGTAATACATAATGGGTTTCGGACTTGAGCCTGTGTGCGTCTTACTGGTTGGGCTTAGCCCGTGTATGAAATAGTATATCTACCTTTGTCTATGGAGAGGGAGGGATATGAAAAATATTGTAATCAACAATCAGATATATCCTAATCTGTTCTAGCTACTCCTCTCGTGTTCATCTTCTTCCTCCCAATTCCCCTGCTCTGCTGCTAGTTCCTCTCCAATCTCTGATCTCTGATGCTTCCCTACCTATCCCCGCTACCCTGCTGCTAACAAGCTTTTCTTCCTCTGCTTTCTGAATAAGAAGCCATTGTGCATATGCACGCTTGCAGAGTGGTTTCTCTCTCAACCACTGAAGATGTGTTTGGATCCATCCAAAATTCCATAAGCTGGTAGAAGCTAGGTTCATTCAGCTTTTGAGATTGTGGAAGCTAGCTTGGTGGATGTTTGGAGACTATCCCAGCTTCCACAAGCCATTGTGGAATCTCACAAGATCCAAACAGGCCGTTGACAACTGATAATTGATTATATGGACCTATGATCATATTGCCCATTTGCCCTCAGGTGTGGGACTTTGTTGACACAACTGCTATATTCATGAAGATGCCTTGAATATGCTTTCTTACAATTGGCTCACAACTTATCTCAAAACAGCTGCCTGACAACAAAGAAGAAACAAGGGGACATGGAATATTGTTGTCAGATAGAATGAATTGACTAGATTAGCAAGTTTTGTGCACTACAAAAAGGGGTAAGATTGTAGGAGTAGGACTATTAAATACCACGTGTCTTGCACCATGAAGAACATCTTGTGTTGTTTCAAACATTGCACATGTGAAATTTGCAGCAACCTCTTCAAGAAAATCTTTCCTGATATGAAGCTCGCCTGCTTCTTGAAAGAAACATATATGCAAAAGGTGTCAAACTTGAAATCATTTTCTGTACAAAACAATTTTCTAGAGCATGAAAATTAATGTAAACAATGGGTAGGTTGCGCAGGCAATATTGTTCTAAAGAAGAAAAAAATAATATGAAGTGTCAGCTTAGATCATGTACAGGTATCTTTGTTAATGTCAGATGGTGACCTGATTGGTCAGCACTGCCAAATTGGGTGCCAACCTCCCATTGCCTCTTAATGAAAAATGTGCTATGCAGGAGAGCTGCGCGTTGTTTCATAAAGAGAGGAAAGATGTTTCGAAAAAAAAAGGAAAGAAAAATACAAAGGAGGAAGCCAAAATGGACCTGTCAAGGGCAGTGAGCCCAAGGGAAGGGGGACCTCGGCTACGTAGATCGTAGCCGCTGTCCGTGGTGGCCGGCCGGGTTATACCCCCTTGCCGCCGTTCCTCGTCGGTGGGTTATGCCCCCAACCGCTGGCTTAGGTAGAAGAGAGGGAGAGAGATTAGATGGTAATTCTTTCTTAATTGCCAAGTGTCTGGTTACAAGATATGTATAGCCTCCGGCTCAACCAAAAGGAGTAACAAAGTCCACTAATTAAGGACTAACCAAAATAGCTAATAGATCTCCTACTTTCCCTCCTAGCCACTGCTGGAGGGCGCCCCACAGGTGCTGGCATGCTTGCAGCAGCGCGTTCACAGGGCCCTGCACATCTCTCGGCCCTATGGCGCCTAGTGTAGACTTGTTTGAACATGACATCTCCTCCCACGTCGAGCCAGCTCGTCCTCGAGCTGGAATTGGGGAAACTTGGAGCGGAGTGTGGCGGCGTCTTCCCGGTGGCCGGCCGGCGGTGAAGATCCCTTCCATCCTGAACCGATTGCTTGATGCACACCGGGCCAGCCTGCATACCAGCACCGCGCGCTCCGGCTCGGGATCAATGGCACCATGGTGAAGTAGCGGCACCGTGGAGGCTCGGTCGGCGGTGTCCCTTGGTACTTCTTGAGCAGCCCCACATGGAACACGTTGTGGATGCTGCGGCGCGAGGTAGTTCGGCCGGGACAGAACCTCGTTGATGAGTTCGACGACGCGGTATGGGCTGAAGAAGCGCGGCTTCAGCTTTGCCGCCCACGCCTTGAGGTAGAGACGACGCCATACATGTTGACGGAGTCGAAGCGGCGCCAATCACCCACGATGGTGACCTCTCGGTGTCTTGTGATCGTAGAAGCGCTTCTGGTATGCCTGTGCCTGCTCCAGGCGATAGCGGATGTCCGCTAGGAACGTCGCACGCTCCTCCATTGTCTTGGCAACGGCCGGCACCCTGGTGTCCCCAGGTTCATAGGAGCGGATGGAGGGAGGATCACGCCCGTAGACAATGTGGAAGGGAGTGTCCCGCAAAGACGTCTGGTACGCCGTGTTGAAGAGGTACTCTGCCCATGGCAGCCACCGAAGCCATTCGCGCGGCCTGTCCCCCACTAAGCACCGGAGGTACATGATGATGACGCGGTTGGCCGACTCGGACTGCCCGTCGGACTGGGGGTGAAACGCCGAGGTCATCTGTAGCTTGGTGCCCATCAACCGCATCAGCTCCTGCCGAGCGCACGCGTGAACACCGTGTCCCGGGTCGGAGACCATGGACCGAGGGACACCATGGAGCTGACGATGTCGTTGAAGAAGGCTCAGGCGACGGATTCAAAGAGAGTACGGGTGTGCCAATGGGATGAAATGGCGTGCTTGCTGAACCTATCCACCACGGTGAGGATTACCGACTTGCAGCGGACTCGTGGCAACGCCTCCCTAAAGTCGGCGCGACATCAGTCCACACACCACAGGGAACCGGCAGAGAAGGAGGAGGCTGCCAGCAGGTGCCGGTGCTCAGACTTGTGGCGTTGATGACTTCACATGTACGCACCAGTCCCGCACAACTTGCTTCATGTTAGGAAAATGGAAATCGCGCGCACTGTGTGGAGTGTCCGTTGTGCGCCTTCATGGCCGTCCTCATGTATGGCCCCCACGATCTCCTGGAGCAGCGAGAAGTCACCGGGATGTACAAACCGCCCAAAACGCACCATGTTGTCCACCAGCCCAGGGGCTGGTGCAGTGCTCGCCGCTAGCTCATCTGAGAGCAACAAGTGCCGGTGTTCCACCTGAGCTTGCCGGAGCTTGGTGATGAAATCGAAGCTTGGAGAGGAGAGGGCCAGCAGCTTCGCCCTCACCATGTCACACGCTTTGGACAGCAGCGTCGGCGACCGCGTTCGTTGCACCGGCTTGTATTCGACGGAGAAGTCGAATCCCAAAGAGACTTGCCAACCCAATGGTGTTCTGGTGGCCAAGTTACTGGTCCAGAGGTATTTCAAGCTGTAGTGATCTGTTCGAACGGTGAAGCGGCGCCCCGGATGTATGGACGCCATGGCGCACCGCTGGACCAAGCCAATGAGCTCACGCTCATATCTTTGCCGGCGTGATGTCGAGGTGCGACTGCCGCCGGCTGAAGAAGGCGATGGGGTGTCCCTCCTAGATGAGGACAGCACCAAACCCATGGGACGATGCGTCGCACTCGACGACGAAGGTCTTGGTGAAATCCGGCATAGCGAGCACCGGTGCCGAGGTGACTGCCTCCTTCAGGGTGAGGAAAGCCGAAGTAGCCTCAGGACCCCAGGTGAAGCCCTCCTTCTTGAGGAGCGCGGTGAGCGGCGCGGCGATGGAGCCGTAGTTGTGGATGAACTTGCGGTAGTAGCCTGCAAGCCCAAGGAAGCCGCGCACCGCCCGTGCGGAGCGAGGTACCAGCCAATCGTGAATGGCTGTACCTTGGAGAGTCCATGGCCACCCTTGCCGCCGAGATCGTGTGGCCGAGGTAAGCGGCGAGGGCGACCCGAAGGCACACTTGGAGCGTTTGACGAAGAGGGTGTCTTGTGGCTCGGCGAGGGCGGCACGGAGGTGTCGTAGGTGGTCGGCCCAGGACTTGCTGTAGATCAAAATGTCATCAAAGAAAACAAGGACAAACCGGCGGAGGAATGGCCTCAAGACGTCGTTCATGAGGGCCTGAAATGTTGCCGGGGCATTGCAGAGGCCGAACGGCATCACCAGGAACTCATATAGGCCGTCGTGTGTGCGGAACGCCGTCTTGTGTACGTCCTCCGGCCTCATGCGCGCATTGGTGGTACCGGCGCAAGTCGAGCTTGGTGAAGTATTGGCGCCATGGAGCTCATCCAAGAGCTCGTCGACGATGGGGATAGGGAACGCGTCCTTCACCGTGACCGCGTTGAGTCTTGTGATAGTCGACGCAGAATCGCTCGCCAGACTTGTCCGGCTTCTTGACGAGGAGGACCGGCGAGGAGAAAGCGGAGTCGCTGCGCCGGACGATGCCGTTCGCGATCATGGTCGCGCACTGCTGCTCCAGCTCCGTCTTGTGGGCGGCCGGATACCTGTAGGGCCGCCTTCGCCACCGGCTTCGGTCTGCGGGCTTGAGGAGGATGCGGTGTCGCGCCACGCGCCTTTGGAGGGAGGCCCCGCTCCTCCATGAACCGCGTCGTGACGCGGGCGAGCAGCTCCTCCAGGAGGGGCTCGGCCACCGAAGTAGAGTGGAGGCGCGGTGGTGTTGGCGGAGCGACGCTGCGCCAGCAGACCTGCTGGTCTGCCATCTTGAACGCCATGGTCCCTGCAGCCATATTCCAGACAATATCGCCCAAAAGTCGCCCGGCACTCGGGTGCCCAAAGACTAAGTCATATCCGGCCAGAGGCATGATGTACAAGTCGATCATGAAACGGCGGTTGTCGATGACAACGGGCGCGTGGCGCGTAACGCCCGGACAGAGATGCGTTCGCCATTAGCCACGGTCGCCGTGAGCGAGGCCGAGGCTCGACGGCAGGCGGCCAGCCAGCCATGCTTCGCCGCCGATGAAGCGATGGGTGGAGCCCATGTCGATAAGCGGCGGCGGCGTGGCGCGCCCACCGCACCTCAAGCCGGAGGTGCCGCTGCAGGGGACGCCAGCGACGGCGTGTAGAGAGTGAACCGGCGCCTCCTCGGGTATCTCCTCATCCAAAGACGACCCGTCGATGTAGAAGATCTTGGCGGCATACTACTGTTGTGGTCAGCGGGTAGTAGGGCTCATTGCGGTTGTAGCAGAGCCCGAGTTTGCGCCGCTCTGCTGCTCCTCCATGGAGAGCGCTTGCCCCACCCTTGGTGGTGGCGCCAGGTGGGCTGGGGTTGCGCTGAGGGAATTGGCAGCGTCTGAGCGCCGGGTGGTGGTGGTGACGGGCGCCGGCAGAACGCCCAGGGCGCTGGCGCGCGATGCGGTGGTGGACTAAGCGCAGCACAACACGATCTTGACGTGGGTGGAGTTGAGGCGGTCCATTCGACGAGTTCTAGGGCCCGCGCCAAACTCATGGCCGCCCCCATGTTTGGGGCGCGTGGATGCGCACTTAGGTGGTGGCGGTGGCGATAACCCGCGGTGTAGAGTTGCAGCTGCACCCCAGGCGTGCCAGCGAGGAGGAGCGCTGAAGCGGTTGGAGTACTCCTCGACCGACCCGTCGGGCGGCACTTTCGGAGAGCTCGAGCAAATGAGGCGGACCGCAAAGACCGCCAAAGCGAAGGTTCAGGGAGCTCCTTGAAGCGCCCCCATGGCGGTGTGCCCTCATCCTCCGGAGTTGGATGAACCACGGTTGGGCCACGTCCTCCAGATTGTACGACGCCATCCACACCTTCTCCTCCGGCATGGTGC